AACCCCGTCTCTACTAAATAAATAAATAATAGCCAGGCGTGGTGGCACACACCTGTAATTCTAGCTACTCAGGAGGCTGACATAGGAGAATTGCTTGAACCCAGGAGGTGGAGACTGCAGTGAGCCAAGATCACACCACTGTACTCCAGCCTGAGCAACAGAGCAAGACTCCATCTCAAAATAATAATAATTAACAGGAGCAGCTAAGTGCATCAGACACTTGTTATATGCTAGGTGCTGCCATAAGCCCTATGCAAGTATTGTTTTCTTCATCCTCACAATCACCCCGGGAAACTGAGGCACTGACAGTGATGAGATATTTGCCCAAAATCACACAACTAGCAGAGGGTTCAGCTGGGATTCCAACCCAAGAAGTCTGGCTCTCGGGTTAGGGTTCTTTTCTATAGAAAAACTCAGCTTTGAAATATGCAGGTCTCCACACCCCACTGGTCTAGAAGTCCCAGCTGGGGGTCAGAGCACATGTCTTTGGTCATGTGTGGTTGAGTTTTTGTCTTCTTATTTCTAGTTCCCCTTTGTTTTCTGGTTTTCATTTGTTTGCCTCTCTCCTTCATTTCCTACTTCTCCTGAGCATAGCTTGAGTCTTTACTGCAATGGATGGCCTTCTCCTCATTGTGTTCTTTCTCTCTTGCCCCACATTCAATCAGTAGCCACATCCTATGGATTCATTCATTTCAGAAATATTTAATGAGCACCTACTATGTGCCAAGCACACAGTAGGTGAACAAGATACATGGAGTCTCTGTACATGGGGCACTTTTGTTAGCAGCCACGAATCCACATGGGTCTACAGCAAGCTCAATTCTTGCCTCCTCGGAAGAAAGAATTCTACCAAGGGACATAAGGCACAGGAAGACATTGAGGAAAGTTTTAGAGCAGGAATGAAAGTTTATTAAAAAGCTTTACAGCAGGAACGGAAGGAAGTAAAGTACACTTGGAAGAGGACCACACAAGTGACGAGAGCAAGTGCAGTTTGACCTTAGACTTGGGGTTTTATAGGTTGGCCTGCTTCCGGAGGGTTGCATTCCTTCTCCCCTGATTCTTCCCGTAGGGTAGGCTGTCCACATGCACAGTGGCCTTCCAGCATCTGGGAGGGGCCGCGTGCACAGTGTGTTTCCTGAAATTGTACGCATGCCCACTTAAGGCGTTCTTCCCTTATCAATCAAGTTTTCCTAGAAGAAGGTCACATACCAGTGAAACTTGGCCATTTTGCCCCTTAGGGTGCATGCTTGGGCCCACTCACCCAACTCCTGAGGTCTCATTGGGAAGCTGCTAATCACCAGTTTCAGGTTTTTCCTGTCTATGGGGAAACTGCCTCTCCCTGGCACCGGCTGCGACCAGTTATATTTTAGAGAGACAGCGTAACAGCCACCCACCTGCCCATCACCTGCTGGCCGCCTGACGTTGCTGGGTTTGGAGTGGGGGTGTCCTCTCCTGCCGTGCTCATGTCTGCCTGACTGCCTACTGGAACACTCTCAGTATGGTTGTTCTGCCTCTTGTCTCTCACACCCACTGGCTCAGAAACCAATGTCCCAAAATATGGCATTTAGACATGCTGAAATGAAGGCGCTTCAAGGTCTCTCTGGCCTCCCCACCTCCATACCCGAGAAGCTGCAATTCCTTTATCTGCCTGAGATCCAGAACCATGAGGGAGAACAGCTGTTTTTCCTTCCCTTCTCTATCTCATTGTCTATTGCAGAAAAGGAGACCAAGACGTAACCACACCTGAATAGACCCTTTTACAAGTATAAAGATTGTCTCCAAGGATCATTTAAATTCCAAAGAGAACTATTGACAAGTTCCCCAATCCATTCATTCTCTCTAGTAATCCCCTCAACAGAATTATTCTCCGTGCTCCTTTCCCATAACCTGTTTTACCAGGATCCAGGCCCCCATTCTTTCTGTAACCCTCCAAGTCTACAAGCTTCTGGTCTTGAACTCCTGACCTCAAACAGTCCTCCTGCCTGGTCCTCCCAAAGTGCTAGGATTACAAGCATGAGCCATTGCACCCCGCCAACGTGGCATATAATCTTCTGTAACTCATTGGGAGGTTGGGTCTTTATTCTGAAGGTTCTTGTGTATATGTGTTAAATACATTTGTATGCCTTTTCTCCTATTAATCAATCTGCCTTATGTCAGTGATTTTCAATAAATCTTTAGGGTGCTAAAGCCTTTGCAAAGGCTGGTGGATCTGCCTAAATGCTTTTCCGCCATAGAGCAGCCTGGATCACTCATTCACCTCCAGTTAGACTTTCCTCAAATGTCACTTTCTCAGCAAGGCCTACCCTATCTACTGTATTTAAAACTGCACCTCACCCCTGCACTCCTGTTACCCTGCTGTGCTTTCTATGTTACCCAGAATAATTTATTATACATGAATTTATTTACTATATTTATTGTATTTTTATATTATATATTAAGTAATATATCTTTATTACATTTATCATATTATAAAAATGTATCATATTTATATCTATTGTTTTAAGTGGAGATTTATTCTCTCTCCACTCACTCTGTAAGCTCCTTGTGAATGGAAATCTTTATTTTGCTCACAGACATATTCCAGTGATATGTTTTGGCTGTGTCCCCACCCAAATCTCATCTTGAATTGTAGCTCCCGTAATTCCCATGTGTCATGGGAATGGGCCAGTGGAAGGTAATTGAATCATGGGGGTGGGTCTTTCCCCTACTGTTCCCATGATAGTGAATAAGTCTCATGAGATCTAATGGTTTTATAAACAGGAGTTTCCCTGCACAAGCTCTCTCTTGCCTGCTGCCATGTGAGACATGCCTTTCGCCTTCTGCCATGATTGCAAAGTCTCCCCAGCCATGTAGAACTGTGAGTCCATTAAACCTCTTTTTCTTTATAAATTACCCAGTCTCAGGTATGTCTTTATCAGCAGCATGAGAACAGACTAATACACCCAAGCACCTAAACTGATACCTGATGCATAGAAGATGCTCAGTAAGAATTTGTGGACTAATGAACAAATGAGTGAATGGATGGGATATATGTCTTCAGCTCTAGCCTGATGCTGTGTGCATCACAGGTGTTTAATTATTGCTTACTGAAGGGAAGAGCTCCACAATCAGACTCAGTTCACATTCTTGATGACAGCAGCCCTGGAAAAACCAGTGTTCGGTATGATCTCATTCTTCCTGTTTGCATTTTTGTTCTTCGAGACAGGGTCTTACTGTGTCACCCAAGCTGGAGTGCAGTGGTGCAATCATAGCTTACTGCAGTCTCCAACTCCTGGGCTCAAGCAATCCTCCCACCTCAGTCTCCCAAGTAGCTGGGAATACAGGTGTATGCCACCACACTTGGCTAATTTTAAAAAATTTATTTAGAGATGAGGTCTCAGTACATTGCGCAGGCTGGTTGTGAATGCCTGGGCTCAAGCGATCCTCCCACCTCAGCCTCCCAAAACACTGGAATTATACAGGTGTGAGTCATCTTGCCCGGCCCTCTGTTTGCATTTTTAGGACCAAACTACAGTCATGGACCCTGTGAGGTATAATCAGGATGAAGGGGAGTTCAGAGCTCTCCAGGATCCCTGGCCTCGTATCCCCTCAAGTCAGCAGTAGGTGAGCTCATTTCCTTTCTACTTGCCCTATCCTGGGGACCCTCCTCCTGCAGACAAGGACCCCAGCTCTCAATCCTCAATCTGGTCTTGCTCCTCATCCTGCTCCGAGAAACAGGCCAGTGTGGCTGGAGCACAGTGAGTGAGAGAACAGGGGATTGGAGACACCAGTGGAACCTAGATGATACATGACCTTGGAGTCAAGCAGAGAAGTCTGGGGTTGTCTAAAACCAAGGGGAGCTTGGCACAGTGGCTCCTACCTATAATCCCAGCATTTTGAGAGGCCAAGACAGGAGGATTGCTTGAGGCTAGGAGTTTGAGTCCAGCCTGGGCAACACAGTGAGACTCTGTCTCAAAAAAAAATGCAAATACATGAATAGATACACATACAGACATATAGGTTGACAGTCAAAGAGACAGGTACACAGAGGGACAGATAGACTAACAGAAGGACACACATTAGGATACTTAGATAAATAGAAGAAAGGCAGGTAGACAAACAGAGAGATAACAGATAATAGATGGATAGATGATATACAGATAAATAGATCATAATACAGATGATAAATAGCATAGATAATAGAGACGATAAATAGGACAGATAGATAGATGATAGATGATAGATAGATAGATAGATAGATAGATAGATAGATAGATAGATAGACAGATAGATAGATGATTTGGCTCTGTGTCCCCACCTAAATCTCACTTTGAAGTGTAATCCCAATAATCCCCACATGTCAAGGACGGGACCAGGTGGAGGTAATTGAATCATGGGAGAAGCTTTCCCCATGCAGTTCTCGTGATAATGAGTGAGTCTCACAAGATCTGATGGTTTTATAAGCATCGTGCATTTCCCCTGCTTTCACTCTTTTTCTCTCCTGCTGTCCTGTGAAGAGGTGCCTTCTGCCATGATTGTAAGTTTCCTGAGGCCTCCCCAGCCATGTGGAACTGTGAATCAAACCTCTTTTCTTTAACCAGTCTCAGGTATTTCTTCATAGCAGCTTGAGAACAGACTAATACAGGTAGGTAGATAGATAGATGGATAGATAGATAGATAGATAGATAGATAGATAGATAGATAGATAATAGAGATGATAGACAGATAGATCATACATACATACATACATTGACAGATACATAAATATGACAGATAAATGAGAAAGAGACTGCAACAGCTGGCAAAAATCAGCCAAATACCTCTCTCCATCTCTTGTCCTTTTTCTCATGAAGCTCTCCCACTCGCATTTCTCATTCTACCTCTTCTCCTGTAATCTTCTGCTAGGTAGAATTATAACCTGATGAAAACTCCATGAGATAGATTTTAAAGACAGGAAACAATAAGAAGTAGCTAAGAGGGCTGTGTGGCCGCCCGGGTGTCAATCAGAACAAATGAGCCAGTGGGTGGGAAAGCTCTTCCTTTGTAAACAGTCAGGTTCTCACATGTGGGAGGGTGTCAGACCCCATTCATAATGCAACGGAGTTTAAGGTGTGAGGGGAGATACAACAGTGGGCAACAGTGACTCACAACCTTACCATGCATTTGAATTACCCAGAGGACTTCTTAACCCACAGATTGTTGAGCTCTATCCCAAGAGTTTCTGCTTCCACAGATCTGGGTAGGGCCTGAAGATTCACATTTCCTGGATAATGCTGATTGTTGCTGGTCCAGGAACTTCACTTGGAGAACCGCTACTGTAAAATAATTTTTCAAAGGTTGTTTTGGCTATCATGATGATGTTTAATCATGTCTCTTTTAATTAAATCCTATCATTCAGCATATTTGAAAATGAAGGGCCAGGTGCAGTGGCACACGCCTGTAATCCCAGCACTTTGGGAGGCTGAGGCGGTTGGATCACTTGAGGTCAGGAGTTCAAGACCAGCCTGGCCAACATGGTGAAACCCTGTCTCCATTAAAAATACAAAAATTAGCTGAGCCTAGTGGCAGATAATTGTAATCCCAGCTACTTGGGAGGCGGTGGCAAGAGAATCGCCTGAACCTGGAAGGTGGAGCTTGCAGTGAGCCAAGATGGCGCCACTGCACTCCAGCCTGGCAACAGTGTGAGACTCCATCTCAAAAAAAAAAAAAAAAAATAGCATAAGAGAGAAGGAGGGAAATCTGAGACAGACACATAGAGAAGGCAATGTGGGGACCGAGTAGAGATGGCCTTGAAGGCTGGGGTGATGACAGCAGCCACAAAGCAAAGGACAGCAGCCACCAGGGGGCAAGACAGGGATTCTCCCTTGGAGCCTCTGGAGGCCATGTGGCCTTGATGACACTTTGATTTTGGCTCAGTGATGCTGATTCCAGACTGCTGGCCTCCTGAAGTATGAGAGAGTTAATTTCTCCTAATTGACGCCACTAAGTTTGTGGTAATTGGCAACAGCAGCAACAGGAAGCTCATACAGCATCAGCATCAAGTTAGACATAGAGGAGAATCTATGAGTCCTCCATTTTCTTCTCTGCCCATAGGGTCTTTTCTCCTCCCATGGCCTCATCAGGACTACAGCGGTCTCTCCCCTAATCCCCTTTGTCTTCTTCTCCTCCCAGTCCAGCCCCCAAGTTGATGTCAGAAGGGTTTTTCTAAAATGTAGTTCTGGCCACATTAATCTGCAGTGAAAATCTGTCAGTGGCACAGTAATGCCTGTAAGATGAAGCCAAACTCTTTGAGCTGGCCTGAAAGAGCCCCTTGTCTTCTCCCACCACTCCCCTCACCCTCACCCTCACCCATACACATACAGTCATTCCCCTCACAGACTCCCACAGGCACTCAGACTCACACACAAGCACATATTTACTCTCATTCAAGCACACAGTAACACAGTACTTTATTTATTTATTTATTCAGAGATGGAGTCTCCCTCAGTCACCCAGGCTGGAGTGCAATGGTGCGATCTCAGCTCACTGCAACCCCCGCCTCCCGGGTTCAAGCAATTCTCCTGCCTCAGCCTCCCAAGTAGCTGGGACTACAGGCGCGTGCCACCACGCCCGGCTAATTTTTTGTATTTTTAGTACAGACGGGGTTTCGTCATGTTAGCCAGGATGGTCTCGATCTCCTGACCCCGTGATGCGCCTGCCTCGGCCTCCCAAAGTGCTGGGATTATAGGCGTGAGGCACCGCACCACGCCTTTTTTTTTTTTTTTTTTTTTGAGACAGTCTCACTCTGCCGACCAGGATGAGTACAATGGTGTGATGTGATCTCCGTTCACTGTAACCTCCACCTCCCAGGTTCAAGCAATTCTCCTGGCTCAGAGAATTTCAAGTGTGTGCCACCATGCCCAGCTAATTTTTAAAATATCTTTAGTAGAGATGGGGTTTCACTAATTTGGTCAGGCTGGTCTCGAACTCCTGACCTTAGATTATCCACCTGCCTTGGCCTCCCAAAGTGCTGGGATTATAGGTGTGAGTCACCGTAACTGGCCTTGTTTTTTTTTTTTTTTTTTTTTTTTTTCCTGAGATGGTGTCTTGCCGTGTCACCCAGACTGAAGTATAGTGGTGAAATAGTTCACTGCAACCTCCACCTCCAGGGTTCAAACAATTCTCCTGCCTTAGCCTCCTGAGTAGCTGGGATTACAGGTGCCTGCCACCATGCCTAGCTAATTTTTGTATTTTCAGTAGAGACAGGGTTTCACCATGTTGGCCAGGCTGCTCTCAAACTCCTGACCTCAGGTGATCCACCTGCCTCGGCCTCCCAAAGTGCTGGGATTACAGGCATGAGCCACTGCACCTGGCCAAACCTGGCAATTCTGACTCACATGGAGAGGGCAACAATTGCCTAGGGTACATAGGTGCTCAGTAACTGGACAGAGCTGCTGGTTTCTAGGACATGGGGCAATATGTAGGTGTCCAAAATGTTCAAGACAAAAGAGGAAGAGAAATTCCAGTTTCCTTACACAGAGACCGGCTTCCTTTATCATCTCCAGAGCCTGGTTTGTGGTGTGCAATTAGCATACACTGTGTGTCCTGTAACGACTGCTGCTGGACAAAGCAGGAATACCACATCTCCATTTCCTTCCGGTGGCTTGGGATGTCAGCACTGAAGACGATCACTACTCCGTGAGCATCCTTCATCAGGGCTGGCCAGCAGGACTCAAACCTGTGAGGAAGAAAAGGAACAAGGGAGAAATTTAGGTTATTCTGGTTTCTAACTGTGGACTTTAAAAAGAATATCTTAGTATTAAAAGTTGGTCCATGACTTCCTTTTTTTTTTTTTATTTAAGAGACAGGGTCTTGCTCTGTCTCTCAGGCTGTAGTGCAGTTGTGGGATCATAACTCACTGCAGCCTCCAATGTGGGCCCAAGTGGTCCTTCTGCCTCAGCCTCCTGAGTAGCTAGGACTACGGGTGTGCTCCATATCAGGTCAATTTTATTTTTTGTAAAGGCTGATTTCTTCATTTAAAAAAAATTTTATTATTATGATTATTTGACACAAGTGTCTGGCTCTATTGCCCAGGCTGGAGTGCAGTAGCACAATCTTGACTCACTGAAACCTACATCTCCCAGGTTCAAGCAATTCTCATGCCTCAGCCTCCTGATGTAGCTGGGATTACAGGTGCATACCACCACACTGGGCTAAGTTTTATATTTTTAGTAGAGACTGGGTTTTCACTATGTTGGCCGGGCTGGTCTCAAACTTCTGAGTTCAGGTGATCTGCCTGCCTCATCCTCCCAAAGTACTGGATTACAGGTGTGTTCCATGGTGCCTGGCCCCTATTTATTTATATATTTATTTTTAAAATGAGATTTCATCATGTTGGACAGGCTGGTCTTGAACTCCTAACCTTAGGTAATCTGCCTGCCTCGGCCTCCAAAAGTGCTGGGATTACAGGCGTGAGCTACCACGCCCGGCCAAGGTTGATGATTGCTAACTGCATCATAGCCTAATCACTAAAGTGTATAAAGCAATGCATGTCAGCAAATAATTAATCAAGCTTCTCATACATGCCAGGAAACATGCCAGGCCCAACTCCATGGTGCCTGGTGGACAGCTGATTTTTTTGTTTTGTTTTGTTTTTTGAGACAGAGCCTCGCTCTATTGCCCAGGCTGGAGTGCAATGGCGTGATCTTGGCTCACTGCAACATCTGCCTCCCGGGTTCATGCAATTCTCCTGCCTCAGCCTCCAAAGTAGCTGGGATTACAGGTGCCCATCACCATGCTGACTAATTTTTTGTATTTTTAGTAGAGACGGGGTTTTGTGATGTTGGCTACGCTGGTCTCGAACTCTTCTCCTCAGGTGATCCACCTGCCTTGGTCTCCTAAAGTGCTGGGATTACAGGCGCGAGCCACCGACCCTGGCCAGGGTCTCACTCTGTCACCCAGGATGGAGTGCTGTGGCACAATCATAGCTCACTGCAGCCTCCAACTCTGGGCTTCAAGTGATCCTCCTGCTTCAGTCTACCATGTAGCTGAGACTACAGACACATGCCAACATACTTGGCTAATGTTTTATTTTTAGTTGAGATGGGGTGTCCCTATATTGCCCAAAGTTCAAGTAATCCTCCTGCTTTGGCCTCCCAGAGCGCTGAGATTAGAGGCATGAGCCTCCCTGCCCAGCCAGTTGGGCACTCTTTGGGACACAGATTTGTCAGGGCTCACCTCACTCCTTGGGTTGGGCTGTATTCAGTGATGTCAGAAGATTCTGTCAGAACGTTGGCCAGAACAGTTTTTCCACTCTGTGAAAATGAGAGCAAGTAAAGGTCTTTGCTGAAAGGCAGAAAAGAAAACCAAAAAGAGCACCCCAAGAGGTGGCCTGGAATCGGTGTGATGCGTAGAGGTAACGGGCACTGTGAGATCACTGGGGTGGTTACGACCTCACTCTCCTGCTCTAGGATGGTGGCCACAGCCTGGTCTGGGGCCCAGGGAGCATGGGATTAAGGAGTTCTTTTTTTTTTGAGATGGAGTTTCTCTCTTGTTGCCCAGGCTGGAGTGCAATGGAGCGATCTTGGCTCACCACAACCTCTGCCTCCTGGGTTCATGCAATTCTCCTGCCTCAGTCTTCTGAGTAGCTGGGATTACAGGCATGTGCCACCACACTCAGCTAATTTTTGTAGTTTTAATAGAGACCGGGTTTCACCATATTAATCACGTTGATCTGGAACTCCTGACCTCAGGTGATCCACCTGCCTTGGCCTCCCAAAGTGCTAGAATTATAGATATGAGCCCCTGAGCCTGGCCAAGGAGTTTTTAGGTCACACAGAGGATCAAGTCAGCCTAGGGACTTGTGACTAGTTGTCTCACAATCTCACATGGAGCTGCTTCTCCACCTCAATTATATGAGTAATACACATTGCCACATTGCTTTTTTTTTTTTTTTTTTTTTTGAGACAGGGTCTTACTCTGTTGCCCAGGCTGGAGTGGAGCAACGCAATCATAGCTCACCGCAGCCTGCATCTACAGGGCTCAAGTGATCCTCCTGGCTCAGGCTCCTGAGCAGCTGGGACTACAGGTGTGCGCCACCATGCCCGGCTAATTTTTGTATTGTAGAGATGGCATTTCCGTATCTTGCCCAGGCTGGTCTTGAATGCCTGAGCACAAGTGAGCTCCCCACCTTGGCCTCCCAAAGTGCAGGCAGGAGTTAGCCACTGTGCCTGGCCTAGGACTTAAGACAGTTTCGCTCTTGTTGTCCAGGCTGGAGTGCAATGGTGCGATCTTGGCTCACTGCAACCTCTGCCTCCCGGATTCAAGTGATTCTCCTACCTCAGTTTCCCAAGTAGCTGAGATTACAGGCATGTGCCACCATGCCTGGCTAGTTTTTGTAGTTTTAGTAGAGATGGGGTTTCACCATGTTAGGCTGGTCTCGAACTCCTGACCTCAGGTGATCCACCAGCCTCGGCCTCACAAAGTGCTGGGATTACAGGCATGAGCTGCCACACCTGGGCTTTTTACTTTTTATTTATTATTTTTTATTTTTAACGCATTTAGCTTTAGTTCATCTGAGCTTTATTTCTGTGGATGATGTGAAGTATACATGTAGATGTGATTCCCCACTATCACTCCCCCGACACACACATTAATAGCCAAGGGTTGCAGGACCATATAGTAAAAAGCTCAGGCCTCAAGCAATGGCTCACGCCTGTAATCCCAGAACTTTGGGAGGCTGAGGCAGGAGGACTGTTTGAGCCCAGGAGTTGGAGACCAGCCTAGGTACTAAGCAACATAGCGAGATCCTATCTCTACAAATAATTAACAAATTTAGGCCAGGCGCAGTGGCTCATCCCTGTAATCCCAGCACTTTGGGAGGTCGAGGCAGGCGGATCACTTGAGGTCAGGAGTTAGAGACCAGCCTGGTCAACATGGTGAAAACCCATTTCTACAAAAAATACAAAAATTAGCTAGGGGTGGTGGTGTGCGCCTGTAATCCCAGCTACTCAGGAGGCTGAGGCAGGAGAATCCCTTGAACCCAGGAGGCAGACGCTGCAATGGGCCAAGATCAAGGCACTGCACTCCAGCCTGGGTGACAGAGCGAGACTCTGTCTCAAAACAAAACAAAACAAAAACAAGAAACTCAGTCGGGCATGGTGGTGCACGCCTGTAGTCCCAGGTACTCACGAGGCTGAGGCAGGAGGACTGCTTGAGCCCAGGAAAGTCGAGGCTGCAGTGAGCTATGATCACAACACCGCACTCCAGCATAAACGACAGTGAGAGTCCCTGTCTCAAAAGTCCAGATCCACAGACGCATTCATTAGGGGGATATCGGGGGCAAAGGAAAGAGTCACCAGACTTAGGCTGTGGTTCCAACGATGCCACTCAGTACCTTGGGCCTTCGGGGCTCATTAACACCGGGCTTGCCTCCACTATCTCCTCCGGGCAGTGGCTGGAATCAAGGTCTGAAAGCACGGAATTCACGGAAAGGCCAGGGTCGCCAGCCGGGGTGGGCGCGGTGGGCCCGGGTTCCCACCTCCAGGAACAAGGCACAGACCAGAGGGGTGGCGACCTGCGCTCCGCCAGGCCCGGAGACCCGCTTCCCGCTCCCCGCTCCCTCTGCCGCGGCGGGCCGGGCCTCACCTCTAAGGCCCCACGAAGAGGATCTTGGCCTTCAGCATCGTTGTCTGCCGCGGCGTAGTCAGCCGGAGCCCACCAGAGCTGGCGCGTCTGAGCTGAGCACTCCTTGGCCGCTGTCGTTTCCATGGCGACGGCTAGCGACCCGCAGGGGCCTACGGGATTCGGCCGTTTCCGGCGCACAGGGCTGAAAGTGGGCGCGTCTGCAACTGGGAGGGCGTCGGAGAGAAGCCATAAAACCCGGGCTGCAGACGCGGTTCTTCCGGGTTGGCCTCTCTATTTCTTTTCTTTTTTGTTTGTTTGTTTGTTTGTTTTTGTTTTTGTTTTTTTGAGACGGAGTCTCGCTCTGTCTCCCAGGCTGGAGTGCAGTGCATCTCGGCTCACTGCAAGCTCTGCCTCCCAGGTTCAGGCCATTCTCTTGCCTCAGCCTCCCAAGTAGCTGGGAGTACAGGCACCCGCCACCACGCCCGGCTAATTTTTTGTATTTTTAATGGAGACGGAGTTTCACCTTGTTAGCCAGGATGGTCTCGATCTCCTGACCTCGTGAGGCGTCCGCCTCGGCCTCCCAAAGTGCTGGGATTACAGGCGTGAGCCACCGCGCCCGGCCTGGCCTATTTCTTTTAGAGACAGGGTCTCACCCTGTCGCCCAGGCTGGAGTGCAGTGGTGCGATCTCAGCTCACTGCAGCCTCCAACTTCTGGTCTCAAACGATCCTTCTGTCTCAGCCTCCCAAGTAGCTGGCACTACAGGCACGCGCCATCACGCCCGACTACATTTTTAAATGTTTTTATTTGTAAGACTGGATTTTGCTATGTTGCCCAGGCTGTTTTCGAACTCCTGGGCTGAAACGATCCTCCCACCTCCGCCTCCCAAAATTCTGGGACTGCAGGCACACTCCACCAGTCTTGGTAGAGACGCGGAAAGCAAGATTCCAGGAGGGGGTGGAATGGCGGTTTCCAAATCTTTGTTCCTCCCAATAATCCGGAGGGCACAGACAGGCCATACAAGTGGCAAGCGGGCCTTGGAACCAGGTTTTGACTCCTTTATCACTGTGGCCGTCCACTTGGGAGCCGATTTATCACAGCCGTGGCCCAGCTTAGAAGAAGTCTGGTTTCTGTAAGAGGATTCACCACTCACTATCACTCCTGTGATCTGGGAGAAACCAAAAATGATGATGACTGGAATCGTTTGGTCAGTGCAGGTGTCTGGAAACATTGCTGCTAGATTCAATCAGTTAGGTCAGTCTGAAAATACGGAGTCAAGTCAGAGTTTCAGGTAAGGCCATGATATTAAATGTCTATGTGCTGAGAGTGCCGGTGCAAAATATGCTAGCCCACAAAAAGGCTGGCATGACAAAAATGCCTCATCAACCCACTATCAAATTTTTAACCTTTGGTAACATAGTTATATATAGTCTGTATTGAAAAGAACTTCTTGGCTGGGCGCGGTGACCCACGCCTGTAATCCCAGCACTTTGGGAGGCTGAGGTAGGTGGATCATTTGAGGTCAGGAGTTTGAGGCCAGCCTGGCCAACATGGTGAGACCCCACCTCTACTAAAAATACAAAAATTAGTTGTGTGTGGTGGCACACACCTGTAATCCCAGCTACTCAGGAGGCTGAGGCAAGAGAGTCTCTTGAACCTGGGAGGCAGAGATTGCAGTGAGCCAAGATGGCACCATTGCACTCTAGCTTGGGTGACAGAGCAAGACTCCATCTCTAAATAAATAAATAAATAAATAAATAAATAAATATAACTAACTGCTGAGTGAACAGTAAGGAAGAGTTCTCAATTTCAAGATGTCATTGTTGATTGATTAAATAATCTTTTGTTTTTGTTTGTTCAGAGAGAGTGTCTCACTGTATCACCCAAGCTAGAGTGCAGTGACGAAAATCTCGGCTCACTGCAACCTCCACCTCCCGAGTTTATGCGATTATCGTGCTTCAGCTTCCGAAGTAGCTGGGACCACAGTTGTGCCCGGCTAATTTTTTGTTTGTTTAAGGGATGTGATTTCACCATGTTGCCCAGGCTGGTCTCTAACTCTTGTTCTCAAATGATCTACCTGCCTTGGCCTCCCAAAGTGCTGTGATTACAGGCACCAGCAACTGCGCTCCTGCTAAATGGAGTAATTAAAAAAAATTTTTTGTTTTTTTTTTGAGACTGGGTTTCACTCTGTCACACAGGCTGGAGTTCTGTGGCATGATCTCAGCTCACTGCAGCCTTGACCTGGGCTCAGGGTATCCTTCCACCTCAGCCCCCCAAGTAACTGAGACCACAGGCACACACCACCATCCCTGGATAATTGTTGTATTTTTGGTAGAGATGGGGTTTTGTTGTGTTGGCAAGGCTGGTCTTGAACTCCTGGGCTCAAGTGATCTGCGTGCCTCTGCCTCCCAAAGTGCTAGGATTACAGGCATAAGCCCCCACACCCAGCCTACTGTGCATTTTTTTTTTCTTTTGAGAGGGAGTCAAGCTGGAGTGTAATGGTGCAATCTCAGCTCACTGCAACCTCCCCCTCTCCAGTCTATTAAGCGATTCTCCTGCCTCTGCCTCCCAAATAGCCGGGACTACAGGCGCACACCACCACATCCAGCTAATTTTTGTATTTTCAGTAGAGATGGGGTTTCAAAATGTTGGCCAGGATGGTCTCGATCTCCTGACCTCATGATCTGCCTGCCTCGGCCTCCTAAAGTGCTGGGATTACAGGCATGAGCTACCGCACCTGGCCACCATTTCGTTTTAAACTGCCCTTCATGGATGAACATTTAGCCTTTGGTCTCTTTCTTGATTTATGACAGCTCATGACTTTCAAGAAAACTACCTATGGATAGGCCGTGTGACTTTTCTTTTTTTTTTCTTTTTTTTTGAGATGGAGTCTCACTCAGTTGTCCAGGGTGGGGTTCAGTGGTGTGATCTCAGTTCACTGCAACCTCCACTTCCTGGGTTCTAGCAATTCTCCTGCCTCAGCCTCCCAAGTAGCTGGGATTAAAGGCACGTACTACCATGCCTGGCTAATTTTTGCCCTTTTTTTTTTTTAGTAGAGATGTGGTTTCACCACTTTGGCCAGGCTGGTCTTGAACTCCTGGCTTCAGGCAATCTGCCCACCTCAATTTCCCAAAGTGTTTGGGATTATGGGCATGAGTCACTGCACTTGACCTATTAATGTTATTTTCAAGCAAACCTTCAAAAGTTTATTCCAAGGCCTTGCTCTCATAGCAGCAAAGCCTGTCTGTTGCACGGGCTCTTGGTAGCATCTTCCTGTTGGTGGATGTTGTGCAGACCTGGGACAGTAAGGCATGTTAACCTCGAGGACATCGAACCTGGCTGGCCTGACTGTTGGGTCTCCCTCCCAGGACACGGCGAGCCATGGGCGGGGCAGTGCCTTTCAAAGCTGCTCTGACGGAGCGCTTAGCCCTCATCCAGCCCTCCAGGGAGCTGGTGCAGAGAATCATAGCAGAGCACCCCCCACACCTGACCCCCGGCATAAGGTAAGAGGAGCCCCTGCTCCAGGTGTATTTCAGCACCAGTGTTGGGGGACACATTCTCCTGAGAGCATCTAACTATTCCTTTAGAGCGCCCTCTGGGTGGTTTATTTTCATTTTTATTTTTTAATTTTATTATTATTTTTAAAATATTTATTTATTTATCTACCTATTTTTTGAGGCAGAGTCTCGCTCTGTCACCCAGGCTGGAGTGCAATGGTGTGATCTTGGCTCACTGCAACTTCCACCTCCGGGGTTCAAGCAATTCTCCTGCCTCAGCCTCCCAAGTAATTGGGATTTCAGGCGCCCACCACCATGCCAGGCTAGTTTTTGTATTTTTAGTAGAGACGGAGTTTTGCCATGTTAGTCAGGCGGGTCTTGAACTCCTGACCTCAGGTGATCTGCCCGCCTCGGCCTCCCAAAGTGCTGGGATCACAGGCGTGAGCCACTGTGCCTGGCAAATTTTTATTTATTAATTATTTGAGACGAAGTCTCACTCTGTCACCCAGGCTAGAGTGTGGTGGTGCGATCTCAGCTCACTGCAACTTCTGCCTCCCAGATTCATGCAATTCTCCTGCCTCAACCTCCAGAGTAGGTGGGATTACAGGCGCCCACGACCACCTCCGGCTAATTTTTGTATTTTTAGCAGAGACGAGTTTTGCCATGTTGGCCAGGCTGGTCTCGAATTATTCACCTTAAGTGATCCACCTGCCTTGGCCTCCCAAAGTGCTGGGATTACAGATGTGAGCCACTGCGCCTGGCTTATTATTTCTTTTAGCATCAGAGTCTCATTCTGTTGCCCAGGTTGGAATACAGTGGTATAATCATGGCTCACTGTAGCCTCAAACTCCTGGGGTCAAGTGGCCCTCCCACCTTAGCTTCCTTAGTAGTGGAGACTACAGGTGCATGCCACCATACCCAGCTAATTAAAAAAATTTTTTTGAGAGACAGGGTCTCGCTTTGTCACCCAGGCTGGAGTGCAGTGGCATGAACATATCTTACTGCAGTATCAACCTTCTGAGTTCAAGAGATCCTCCTGTCTCAGCTTCCTAAGTAGCTGGGACTACAGATGTAGATGACCATGCCTAATTTTTTAAAAATAATTTTGTATAGACACAGGGTCTCACTATGTTGACCAGGCTGGTCTTGAACTCGTGGGCTCAAGTGATCAATTTTCCCCCCTCTGCCCACCAAGGTGTTGGAATTATAGGTTTGAGCCACTATACCCAGCCATTAAAAAAAATTTTGTAGGCCGGGCGTGGTGGCTCAAGCCTGTAATCTCAGCACTTTGGGAGGCCAAGGTGGGCAGATCACAAGGTCAGGAGATTGAGACCATCCTGGCTAACACGGTGAAACCCCGTCTCTACTAAAAATACAAAAAATTAGCTAAGCATGGTGGCGGGTGCCTGTAGTCCCAGCTACTTGGAAGGCTGAGGCAGGAGAATGGTGTGAACCCAGGAGGCGGAGCTTGCAGTGAGCCAAAATCCAGCCACTGCACTCCAGCCTGGGAGACAGCGAGACTCTGTCTCAAAAAAAAAAAAAAAAAAAAAATTTGTAGAGATGGGGTCTTGCTATGTTGCCCAGGCTGTTCTCAAGCTCCTGGCCTCAAGTGATTTTCTACCTTGGCCTCCCAAAGTGCTGGAATTAAAGGCATAGCTTGTGTGGTTTTTTTGGCACTTACACATGGTCTTGTCTGGCCGGTTGTCTGGTCCTGCCTGTTTCCGCCTTTCCTCTTTCTCCAGGGAAAACCGAAACTTTCCTTGTTTGTCCTCGTCTTGCGATTTTCTGGGTCCATGGAAGAGTAGAGTTCTATAATGGTTTCCTAAAGGCACCAAGCCCTAGCCATTGATTCCTAAGTGCGTTTAGGAAAACACATATAAGGCCAGGCGTGGTGGCTCACACCTGTAATCCTAGCACTCTGGGAGGCCAAGGTGGGTGGATCACGAGGTCAGGAGTTCGAGACCAGCCTGACCAACATGGTGAAACACCATCTCTATTCAAAATATAAAAATTAGGCCAGGCACGGTGGTTCATGCCTGTAATCCCAGCACTGTGGGAGGCTGAGGCAGGTGGATCACTTGAGGTCAGGAGTTTGACCAACACGGTGAAACCATGATGTTTTTAGTACTTAAAAATACTAAAAAAGTAGCCAGGCATGGTGGTGGGCACCTGTAATCTGAGATACCTGGAAGGCTGAGGGAGGAGAATCGCTGGAACCTGGGAGGTGGAGGTCGTAGTCAGCCAAGATTGCACCACTGCACTCCAGCCTGGGTGACAAAGCAAGACTCCGTCTCAAAAATAAAAAACAAAAATTAGCCGGGCATTGTGGTGCATGCCTGTAATCCAATCTACTCAGGAGGCTAAGGCAGCAGGAGAATCACTTGAACCCAGGAGGCAGAGGTTGCAGTGAACCAAGATGGTGCCATTGCACTGCAGCCGGGGCAACAGAGGGAGACTTTATCTAACAAAAAAGAAAGGAAGGAAGGAGGGAAGGAGGGAAGGAGGGAAGGAGGGAAGGAGGGAAGGAGGGAAGGAGGGAAGGAGGGAAGGAGGGAAGGAGGGAAGGAGGGAAGGAGGGAAGGAGGGAAGGAGGGAAGGAGGGAAGGAGGGAAGGAAGGAAGGAAGGAAGGAAGGAAGGAAGGAAGGAAGGGGCATATGTAAAACATTAACTGTCCAGGCAATATACCTTGTCAAATATACCTCAGGAAAATGCATTCAGAGGAAGAAAATATATCTTAGTTTCCTCTTCATGTTTCTTTTTTTTCTTTTTTTTTTCTTTGTGTGTTACTCAGTGTTTGATATTTTGCATTTTATTTTTTCAGGGAGCTGGTAAGTCGCCTACGAGAGCGAAATGTTCAGGTTTTCCTAATATCTGGTGGCTTTAGGAGTATTGTAGAGCATGTTGCTTCAAAGCTCAGTATCCCAGCAACCAATGTATTTGCCAATAGGCTGAAATTCTACTTTAACAGTAAGACGTTAATGGTAACACATTCCCTTTCTTAGCAGTTCTATTATTCAGTATTCTGGGTAATGTCTGTTGGAATGCAACTTAAACAGTCACATCAGAGTTAAATATTGAGATAAATGGTCTTCTTAATTGATGTCTTTTGCCCTTTGGTACCCTTTGCTCAGCAAAATAGACTTAGGTCATCACCTGTCCTAGCTTTATTATCTATAACATCACCTGTCTGTACATAAATGTGTGCATTTCATGAAACATTAATTCCTACATAGCCCCTATGACTTACTTTGCTATATGTTATATTTCAACTTTATGGGAGCTTCTATGCATTTGAAGCAATTTAGACTCAAGAAGGAGACTTTTGGCTGGGCATGGTGGCTCACGCCTGTAATCCCAGCACTTTGGGAGTGTGAGGTGGGAGGATTACTTGAGGTCAGGAGTTTGAGACCAGCCTGGCCAACATGGTGAAACCCCAACTCTGCTTAAAAAAAAAAATACAAATTTAACTGAGCATGGTGGTACATACCTGTAGTCCCAGCTACTTAGGAGACTGAGGCAGGAGAATCACTTGAAGCTGGAAGGCAGAGGCTCCAGTTAGCCTAGATCACGCCACTGCACTTCCAGCCTTGGTGACAGAGTGAAACTCTGTCTTAAAAAAAAGAAAGACAGAGATTTTAGAAGAAAGACTTTTGTTAATGGATTACTGAACTACAGCTGCTCTTGGGGAAGCCTCTTGTCCCCTCTCTGGTCCATAGCAGTGCCACAGCTGTTATAATATCTGAGATCTCCAGTTATATCAAGAAGTGACTGATAGTAATATTCCTATTTTTTTCTTTTTTGGATACAGGGTCTCACTCTGTTGCTCTGGCTGCTGTGCAATGGCTCGATCTCGGCTCACTGCAACCTCTGCCGCCCGGGTTCAAGCGATTCTCCTGCCTCAGCCTCCCAAGTAGCTGGGATTAAAGGTGCCCATCCCTACGCCTGGCTAATTTTTGTATTTTTTTAGTAGAGTCAGGGTTTCACCATGTTCGTCAGGTTGATCTCGAACTCCTGACCTCAGGTGATCCATGCACCTCAGCCTCCCAAAGTGCTGGGATTACAGGTGTGAGCCACTGCGCCCAGCAAAGGGGGCTGATGTACTATAAAACCAAATGAAAAAAGAAGTCAAGAATGAGTATGGTAATTACTGTAAGAATAGAAATAATTGATAAAAAAAATAAGCTGGAATTTCCTCTAGGTGCGATTATATGTTAACATTTTAAATTTAATATACTAAGGCCGGGCATGGTGGCCTCCCAAAGTGCTGGGATAAAGGCATGTGTCACCACGCCCAGAGTTTTTTTTTTTTTTCAAAACGAAGTCTGGCTCTGTCGTTCAAGCTGGAGTGCAGCAGCACAATCTCGGCTCACGTCATACAGGCGCATGTCACCACAGGCCGACTGATTTTTCTATTTTTAGTAGAGACAAGGTTTTGCCATATTGCCAGGCTGGTCTCAAACTCACAACCTCCATTGATCCACCCATCTTGGCCTCCCAAAGTGCTGGGATTACAGGCATGAGCCATCGCACCCGGCAAAACTTGAATTTATTTATTTATTTATTTTTCTTAGAGGGAGTCTCACTCTATCACCCAGGCTGGAGTGCAGGGGCACGATCTCGACTCATTGTAACTTCTACTCCCCCAGTTCAAGTGATTCTCCTGCCTCAGCCTCCTGAGTAGCTGGGATTACAGGCACCTGCCACTGCACCCGGCTAATTTTTGTATTTTTAGTAGAGATGGGGTTTCACCATCTTGGCCAGGCTGGTCTTGAACTCCTGACCTCATGACCCACCTGCCTCGGCCTCCCAAAGTGCTGGAATTACAGGTGTGAGCCACCATGCCCAGTCAGTTGAATTTTTAAATAAATAAAACTGAAAAAATGTTTGATCTGTTAGGGGATACAGGTACAGGTTTTCTATGTGCATATGTTGTGGAGTGCTGAGGTCTGGGCTATGAGTATCGCCATGATTCAGATAGTGAACATTGTACTCAATAGGAAAATTTTCACCCCTCACCCTCTTTTCATTCTCCCATCTGTTGGAGTCTCCAATATCTGTTGTTCCCCATGTCTATCTATTGTTTAACTCCCATGCATGAGAACATTCAGTATTTGATTTTGTTTCTGAGTTACTTCACTGAGGATAATGGCCTCCAGTTCTATCCA